GTGGGTGTTTACTATCACTTGAATTGGTGAGTGTTTTCTAACACTAGAAGTAGTCAGTATTTTCTATCACTTGAACTGGTCAGTGTTTCTAACACTAGAATTGGTCAGTGTTTCTATCACTTGAATTGGTCAGTGTTTCTATCACTAGAATTGGTGGGTGTTTTCTAACACTAGAAGTAGTCAGTATTTCTATCACTTGAATTGGTCAGTGTTTTCTATCACTAGAATTGGTCATTGTTTTCTAGCACTAGAAGTGGTCAGTGTTTTCTATCACTAGAATTGGTGGGTGTCTTCTAGCACTAGAAGTGGTCAGTGCTTTCTGGCGCTAGAAGTTTTTTATATTTTTTTATTGAATAATTGAACAAATGTGAAATATTTAGCATATGAAATTCAATAAGAACGTTTTTTTTTAGCCACAATGATTCACTGAAACCATATTGGTTTTCTTTCTCACCTTTTTCAAACGACCATCATCTGTTCCAACAAAGGCTAACGTGTGCTCAGCTGTCGTAGTAGTGGTTACTGCTTTATAAATGACGTTCCTGTCTTCAATGGCAGCAAACACACCCAGAGGAATCGACCCGTTGATCTTAAGCGCTTCCCCACAAAAATCGAGGACGTTACCCCCTTTCTGAAAAATGAAATTCAACAAGCAAGTATAAACATTTCGGTATTCATTTAAATAAGCCATTCCTATCTGGTTAAATATTATAATTAACACATGTTTTTAGAAAATAATGTATATACTGGTCAGTTATACAATTTCACAGGCTGTTCTGTCTGAAAAAGACCAGTTCGTTGTTACAAAGTACTAAAGTGTAATGTCAGGAACCTTGGGATTAACGGTCACAGCTATGGTAATTGGTTCAATTACTTTTTCTGTATACACTATCCTGCCACAAGGATTTAGACGTGAAGCAATAGAGGACAGTCCTAATACAAAGTAGTACTATCGTTGTCCTGAATAACTATGAGGCATGCTCTAATCTAGTATAATTTGATCAATCGTTGATCACTGATGACCCGTGATCCAATTTCTTAAAGGAATCATTATAGATGATCACAAAAATGTCCCACAGCCATTCTAAAAATATTATTACCGTAACTCTGAAATCAAACTTTCTTAATAATGTTACGTCTCCGTTCGTTAGT